TATGGTAGAGTCTACTCAAGTTACCTAGGGGTGAAAGGGTTAAGTGTGACTGGGCCAGGGTACAACCGTTGACCAGGGAGTTCAGTTGGTTAGAGCAATGGCATAATGATAAGAGGTCCAGGGTTTGAAACCTGGCCTGGCACCATTAAATTTTTACATTTAAAACACTGTTTGTTGATGCATTTTATATCTTTTTTTATATTCAGTATTATTTTATTAAAGTCAAGCAGGGTATTGTTTTCTATTCAAAAGCTATGGTCAACTGTCATGCTAGAAAAACAGTTTCCACTGTATAGTCTTCAGCAGTGGCACGGGGTTCCTTAACAGAAATTATCTTGTTATATTTGCAGGTTTTCGTTGAAGATTCTACACTTACTATTGTTAGGTCCCGAGGAGTGAACGGTCATCACATGATGGACAGATGCTTGACCAGCAGTCAATTCCGCAGAAGCAATGGTAGATTTCTCTACTTCCACAGGAATTTCTTGGCCATACAACAGCATGGATTTGTCTGACATCGTATTTGTGTGGTCAAGCTGGCCCTATCAGCAAAATCATAGGTACGTATTTCAACTGTAATCATAATTTTTCGGAATGGGTTCATTCTGATATTTGGTATTTTTTAAGCATAAATGTGTTTTTTTAAAGACCGTCCTACGGAGGTAAAATCCTAGGCACTATATTAAAATGCCATCTTGGTAGTTTTGTAAACTGTACCAGAGCCATGCGATTTCTGTGCATGGATACAAGAAAAGTCTTCTCAAAATTGGTTAAGTAGAAATTGCCTGTATCACAATGTTAAAAGTATATATTATGGTAAATAACCGGAAGTTAAATGTTGAACAGACTAGAATTAGCATGATAGGTGAGCTATTTGAAGATATTTATCAATAGTTTACCATAATTTAACATAAAATTATAATTATTGCTGATTAACTTAATGTTACTGATTAACAACAGAATTGTTTTTATGCTGTCATGGTGTAACTCAGAAGAGAGTGTAATACAGAATATTTACTTTTAGATGACTTTTTGAGGAGAATTCCACACAGCCGTTATCTATGTTGGAATCTGTTAAGGCGACCCACACTGTCAGGGCATCAGGAGGGTCCATACCTTTAACACCAATAAAGTGATATAGCTAGTTCTCCTGGATTATATATGGTTTATAGCAATGCCTTCTTGTTATTGGATTAACTAAGACAAAATTGTCTATGTCATGATTATTTTTTTTCCAGATTTAACTACATGTTTATTTGATGTGTGCAGAAATAATCAACTGGTACCTCAATCTCATTATTTTCCTAACATCTGATGCCATACTTCATTCCATGGCAGTGTGGCATCGGAAAGAATGAAAGAGCAAGTTCCCGTAGCTTGAATCCTGGTGCCACTCCTTCTCATCTATGTAAGCTGAATCCTTTAGCCACAACCCTATATAAATATTTAGGCTGAATCCTGATGCCAGTCCTGTTTATATACATAAGTTGAATCATGTTGCCTATGCATATAGACTGAATCCCGGTGCCACAATCCTACCAGCCTATGTAGGCACAATCCTGAGGCCACAATCCTTCCAACCTATGTAGGCTCAATCCTGAGGCCACAATTCTACCAGCCTATGTAGGCTCAATCCTGGTGCAACCAGTACTCCTACCTTGTGCCACACCCCTACCTACCTATGTATGTGGAGTCCTGGTGCCACCCACAGGACTTCCCAGATCCAGGATCCTTGGGAAAAAGATCTGTTGACCAGCACACAACATCAGGACCTACAAAATCATGTGATGTGGCTTTATTTATTCAGATAGGAACAGGTGAGAAATACAGGCACCATGGACCTCTTGCTGTGACAAACGGACAGTAGAACACTTTATCATATAATCGGCCTGTTATCCAGTGAATTCGCCCGTGTAATATTTTTA